GTATTAATACTACGCGGTTCTATATAACTTCTATACTCTACTATTGTGATTCCTTATTACATCAGTAATTAATTGCACGAAGTAGTACCATTTCAACAGAGACAAAATGTGTCTCTCTTTAATTATTCAATATTATTATGGTTATTATCTTTCCTATCTATTTTCTTTTTATTTTCATTTTCGTATGTCAATATATATTTAGCGTTATTTCGTAATAATACCAGCAATGAGCTGAACTATCCACACAAATGAGTTTCATTTGATACATCTATACAAAGCAACAAATAATGAAATGGAATATTTAACAAAAGAAATATATGTAGTGAGTTCGAACCCTGCAGATGACAGGTGCGTTTGACTTCATCTTAATTGACTAGGATTATCAGTTTTCCTGTCGAAAGTCAGTGGTTTCATCCGGGCACTCCATCGCCCGTCACCAATTAAAACTGACCGCCACAAAATAGTCTATAGTTCTGAAAGTGGCGTTAAACATCAATCAATCAATCAATCTTAAAGAAATAGACCGACACAATCCGTTTTTAGCGATCCTTTTACATATTTGTACTCTGACACATTACATTATTCATCGCATATATTATGTTTTGAAAATGTTTTAACAATCCAAATATATGTATAAACCTGTTTTATTGAAAAGTACAGTGAAAATGTACATCTATTAATTCAAAACGATTTTTCTCTTTCCAGATGTTTAATTATTTTGTTTTGGACAAAGTTGTTGTCAGCAGTTGAGAATCTAAAAGAGGATTCCTATCATATTAAACTTTCAGATTGACATCCTTTCTGTGGAATTATCAGGAAATCTATAGCAGCTCTCATGATGCGTTTCATTGTAATGTTCTTTTGGGTCTTTACACCAGCGTTGATGTACAATTACAGCAATATCATAGAACATTATCTTCGTGTGTGTGGTCCAGAATATATGTGCCACCATGATTATGTGGACTCTTCACACATACCAGACAATTCTTACAAATATCTAAAGTTGTGTCCTGAATGTTTTTGTAATTTGACATGCATTCTGAATGAAAACTGTTGTCCGGATGTATTTTTCAAACTTCCTGAACAAACCTGTGTGGAATCCGTGATTCTCGATTCAACCCAATACAACTTCACTGAAGTATATCCAATGGTTACACGTTGTCCATTTGGGTCCAATAACACAGAAAGTAGACTGTGCACAACGAACAATACTATGTTAAAACGTATAATAGCCCCTCACGTGACGTCTAAGATCACACATATGACATACCTCAATAAACACTGCGCATATTGTCATGGTGAAACCACATATTACCAATGGGATTTGAATATTTCATGTTACCAGTTTTCTGATTTTAATTACTTATCTACCCACCAACAGGTTTTAGACCATGCTAAGGCGAGACAGTGCGTTATAAAGTACCAATCTTATCCCGGTGATGTACGAAACTGTTCCCGAAATGAAGAAGTTCCTTATAACAAGTGTAATATGACAGGTTTGTGGGACAAATTTGATCCCGATCTTCAGTTCGCGTGCGAATCTACATATATGTTAAAATACAAAGTTTTTCAAAACATATTTTGCTACATCTGTAATCCGATTGATCGAATAAATAATAAATCTTTTCGGGATTGCAACGTAACTGGTTTTTGGACTCCTTATGACAAAGGACTTCAGAAAGCATGTCAGTTCTATCGACACACAGACACCAAGTTTTCTTTTATAAATGTATTTTGTTTCTTATGCAATAGAAATAACACCAATAGCAGTTCATTTCAAGATGCCGAGGCTGCTGTAACATTTTTCGCTAAAGGGAAAATTTACTTTTATAAATTAACAAATATTAAAAATTATAACCTACCGAGTTTTAAACAATATATGAAAGAACAAATGAACAACACCATTGCTACTACCATTGGAAACAAGAGTTTTACGTTAAACTTTACACAGGTTTTGCTAAAAGCATATGCACATACTCCTCTTCTTCCGGGATTATGCAACGACACGCTACTGCAGCCCCATGCTCTCAACATAATTAAATCAACAATGAAAGCATGTAGTTGTAATTTGTCCTCATTTTACAACGGAGATTTACCACTTTGCTTAGATTTGTCTCTTTCTAATCCATTTATTTGTGTCAGCAATGTTATAAATTTTGGATATTATGGGAAAACTGGAGAACGCATTTATGCTATGGTAGGAAGGTGTTCTGTAAATGTTTATTCCACAGTACTTAAAGAAAGGTGTGCATGGAATGCAAATGATATCTATTCATTTCTCCCCGTAGTAGACACACTGATGAATATTCAATACAAAAATGTCCATTGCTTTATTTGCAACCAAGTTACAGATGTTGACGATGTCGATAATGTTTTTAACAGTGATAATTATAGGTCTATGTTTGCTATAAATATCATTTGTAAACAGACGTATATTGATATTTCGCGATCGTTGTCTTTAACGGAGATAATACGGATTGCGTTGATAAATAATTGTAGAATTAGCCTTTTAAATCCTATAGTTCACCCTATATCGTGTCATAATGACGGGATAATGGAACTGAACAGTATACACCAGTGTAACAATTCCGGATTATGGCCAGAGCTTGACTTGGATATTAAGTGGGCATGCGAACAGTTTTCTTATGTGGATTTTAGGATGGTCGATGTTAATAATGAATTATTCAAGAATATGTTTTGTTCCATTTGCAACCCTCCCTATTTTGATGAAGAAATGATAACAAATTGTAGCATATCCGATTCCTGTCCTATCATATCTGAAAACAGAGCAACTGGATGTCGCGTATTTCCAAAGGTGGTCAAGCATCTGCCGTATAAAAATGATTTTTGTTATATGTGCAATGAACACCCTTGTCGTAAGAAATTTCGTCCAGAAATAGATATTGAATTCATGCCAGATACTGGTACATGTCTTCCATATGATTTTGAGCCTTACAATTGTGCTTGTCTCGGTCCAGGATGCGCTGTTCCGAAAGACATCCCAGGAGTTAAAATCCGAAATCTGTTTCGCATTGATGAAATCAAAACACATATGATACGGCCTGCTGCTCAACATTGTACTAATGGACAGTTTTTCGACCTTTTTGAGGTAAGTTATTCGTATAATTATTATGTAGTCATAACATACGTGTACATCTCTGCATTCAGTCAAATAATTGATCAATGGTTCAGTATTGTTTAAATATAATGTGACAAGATAAAATATTCATCAAATAAAGGAAAAAAGTACTGCAGTGGAAAAGTTGCCACGGTCAACTGTCAATTTGACGGTCGAATATTCGGCAACACATAGCGGAGATATTTAAACGGGATTTAGCGACCGTCGAATCCCATTAGACTGTGTCAACTTTTCAATTACCGTTTGTGTTTATTTTTCTATTCTAATGCATCACAAAATGAAATATTACATACGAACTTGTAAAATGTACAAAGTTTAATAAAATAATTATCTTCGAAACTTGATGAATGATTTTGGTGTAAAAATCACAACAAATGACAAACTGAATGTTAATTCATTACTTGTAAGATTAAGATCTGGATAATATCTCATTAAAACTGCATTTCTGAGGTAGGTGTTGTTGCATTTTCGATCGTATTATACTAATCGAACTTACGTGGATTCCAACAATTCAATATGGCGGCTTAAAATATGGTAATTATGAATTTGACGGTACATGTTACCTCATGTAAAAAATTGATACTTAAAGATTTCATTATAAAAGAAAGGCGATAGATACCAAAGGGACATTTAAACTAATAAGTCGAAAATAAACTGACAACGCCATGGCTAAAAATGAAAATGACCAACAGACAAACAATAGTACACAAAACACAACATACAAAACTAAAGACTGAGCAACACGAACCAACCCAACCAAAAACTGGGGGTGATCTCAGGTGCTCCGAAAGGGTAAGCAGATCCTGCTCCACATGTGGCCCCCGTCGTGTTGATCATGTTAGTACAAACCCGGTAATAAGTCTAAATCGGTAGGTCACATTCGGGGAAAAGGGGACGGGATTGTAGTTACGATATTTGGAAACATTCCGCTATCATCTGTGAAACGGATAATCTGTAACGGTCAGCCAACTCTTGATGGCGTCCGTAAAATTCACGAAGGGATGATTCCAACTTCGACACTTGGAACTCTTGGTTTAATAGCTTCCATGTGAGCAGAATCCTCTATCAAGGAAATCATGATAGGAAATACAAGCCCTGGAATATCGTATCAACTTGGAGATATATACTCCGTATGCCGGCTGCTGGAATGTTACGACATAGAATAATTAATTGTTATGATTAAAATCATCAACAAAGAGGAATAAAAAATGATAACAACACTTTATAAATTTAATGCGTCCGACAACTTTTCTGGATTTATACCTTCAGCACTAAAACTGAATATTTGAAAGCTTAGAATGTAAGAGAACCGAAACATTTGAAGAGGTATAAAATAAAACAGGACCTTAAAATAATAAATAAATCCATTTCAGGTCAACTATGCAATCTTTGAGTACTAGTTTGAGAATAAGTTAAACACGTTATTATCATTAAAGTATTGAAAAAATATTAATGAAATTTAATGATTCAGATTTGTGATCACTGCAAGAACACATGAGATATCACAATTTTGTTCTTGTATTACACTCTCAAACAATGAGCCTCCTCATGAGGTTTTTGATTATATGATTACTTGGCCGTTTTTATAGTGATTATTTGATAACCAGACCAAATATTTCATGATTATTTGATTATTTGATAATCTAGGACTGTATTTCTGATTATTTGATTATCTTGTTTAAAAAAATAATTAATAACTATGTGATTATATTGGCAAAAAAATTGTGATTATGTGATTATAATTGGACATCCCCATGAGGGGCCTCAACAAAAAATTGCACCATTTGTGTTATGGTTGTCATATTATTTTTTTTTTTAATTTTTAATTTTTTTAAATTTTATTTTTTCCAGAATATCTGCCGCAACGTTACCTGCTTTCCTGGAAGGTATTTAAAAGATGACAAATGTGATCCTTTGTTCCCTATTGCAAGGAATATTCGATATAACTTGGGCATCTTCATAACAAATCAGACAAGACTATGGAAGGAAACAGAACAAATCTTATTAAGATTGTTAGAAGATATTGTCAAAAATCATTCAGTTGGCATAACAAATCTACTTATTCTTAAATATAAACAATTCTCGAAGTCTTTTAACTTTGGAGGTCCGTCGGATTCAAAGATGATAACTTATGTTGCATTTGATTTGTTTATTAAATCAAATATTAATCGAAATGACCTTGAACAGTCGCTTCTAAACATAGCACAGAAAAGCAGCGATAAACGAAGCATTGACATACGTTTAGCTTCATCTTTGCCTGAGCTACTTAATTCTGTTTTAGCGGATTATGATTTCAAAAATGAATCTCACTGTTGGACATTTGAGGAAAATAGAGACTATTTAGAAAAATACGAGAGGTATGCATCGACAAATATTCAGAAGCAAATATTCTGTCCGCAATTGGAATTGGAATTTGATCAGTTTGATATAGACGGGTCTTCTTTACTAATAACTAAACATAATATAAAAATTCCTAAAGACAAATTTCTAATGGATTCAAATTACAAAATAAGGGTTTGTGTTGATGATTTTTCTTCGTTTTTGTCGAAGAAGTCTATAAAATCGTCCACAGAATATGCCCTAGAAATAACGACAATTGTGTGTACATGCGTTTCTCTGTTTTGCCTGCTATTAACATTTATTACCTACAGTCTTTTTCCATTACTACGAACATTGCCTGGCAAAAATAATATGTGTCTAATACTATCCCTTTTCATTGCACAAGCATGTTTGCAATTCGGAACAATTTGGACAAATCGTCTATTCGTCTGTGCAACCATTGGCGTCATCCTTCATGTATTTTGGTTGGCAACTTTTGCCTGCATGAATGTCTGTTCATATCATATGTATTCTGTGTTCACCATTTTAAAAGCTACTGCAAGTTCGTCTGAGAATACCAAACTATTTTGTAAATATTTATGCTATTCATTCGGGACACCTCTCTCTATAGTTATTATTAATATAATCATTCATATTGTTCTATCAGGTGGAACGAAGATTGGTTATGGTGAAATAAATTGCTTTATTTCTGGTCATATTCCCAAGCTTGCTGCGTTCATATGTCCAGTGGCTGTCATCTGTGTTATCAATATATGGTTATTTGGGTTCACGGCTTACAAAATTTACAATCGACCTGTCATTCAGAGCACAGCTAACACTAAACATGACTTTTTTGTATATATTAAACTTTTCTCGCTAACCGGAATTACCTGGATCGGGCAAATAATAGATTCATTTGTTCCTTTATCATTGTTCTCTTTTGTTGTGACAATACTTACAGGTTTACAAGGGTTATTTATATTTCTAAGTTTTGTTTGTAACAAACGAGTTATCAAATTGTTTTTGGAAATTTTCAATGTGATCAGAGAGAACAAAGGCGGGAAAGTAGCAGATCCATTATCAAAAACAGATAGCAATCCTTACCCTAATTCGAGTACATCTATTACATCTGACAGAAATCGTCCTCCGTAAGGGTTTCACAGCACAGTAGTCAACTCTTTTGTGTTGACATGATTTATTATTCATATGGTTATATTCATAAATTTGCTGTTAATAAAACTTTAATTATTCGAATTACAAAGGATTTGTTTACCCCCAGAATAGATTACCATACCTTTATTCGGAATTTTGTGTTCCCAATGCCCTTTAACTTTTTATTTGTTTATTAAATTATCTTAATTTGTGCATTTATAGTTATGTTTTTTTTGTTTTATATAGTCGTATATCGAGAAATTTGAAGCACAGGTACTACATGTAAGATATTGTCAACGGCAAAATATTAACTCCTATTACATTAATAGCACAAATAGTGTCTATAAGTTATTCATGTGTGTTATGTGATCTTGTCAATCAACACGAATACAATGTATGTATTTATACGGAACACAGACTGTGTCACATTGTTAAAAATCATTTTACCTAACAATTTATGTTCGTCTAAAATATCAAGACTTGTGAAAAGTACACATACAATAGAAAAACAAAGGATATGGGGTATCCATCCATGACACAAAATCAGTACATGCACAGCAAGAAAACACAAAATAAGCAAAGTGATGCCTTCAAACCGGAGCAAATAAAAAACTCTCACCTCACTGCAAGTTTAAGACGGCCCTTAGCACCGACATACAAGACCATATAATGAAACAAAAACTATACAACAATAATATAATGCTCTGCTTGAACACCCTTTTTCATCAACCTGTATATGAGGTTCTTGATTTGGGGTGGGGAAGGAGGTCCTTTGTTTCTTTATTCTTTAGTTTTGAAGACCGTTTTGTTCCATTCTTTGTTTAGTTTGTCTCTATTCTGTATATTTTAGCTGCCAATTTTTCTCTATTTTCAATTTTTCTTCACTTTTTTTTTGGCCTACTTTTTTTGTGTGTATTTTTCCCCTGTTTTCTGCACTTGTTGCACATTATTCCCTATTCTGTAAACCTCAAACCAGACCCTCGTTTACCGCCCAAAAACAAGCGCTGACAAACTTGTCAAAAGCAAACCGGTCGATGTATAGACGAACAAGACAATAATGTGAAGGAAATGAAAAATGAATTGTTTTGTCTGCAAATATATCTATCAATATAAGAGTTTTCAAATTACTGTTTTAAGGATGTACTTAGGTCAGGTTTAGGAATTTTTGTCAGATGTTCGGACTCTTTGGTTTGTTTCCTAAGATACAGGGTAAAATATTTTGCCCCATAACACTAATTAGTAAAGGCAACAGTAGTATACCGCTGTTCAAAAGTCATAATAAGTCTTTTCACATAAGACTTCAATAGCTAATAAAACATTGTAAAAGGCCATTTACCAAAATTTAAGCAGATTCTTGATTTCTTTTCTTTCGATTTGAGACCCAAATAATACCAATGCAAATATAAGGTAAAATGCTGAGTCAGCCTTTCCCCCCATTTTTAAAAAATTAAATATCTCGAAAAGGAACTTCATAACCTATCAATATTTTTAGCTTATTTTGTTCCTTAACTAATGTTCTTCTGACTTACAGTATCAATTTTAAATTCTAGTTTTTTTTTTCATTCCACCTAAGTACATCTTTAAAGGAGTTATGCCTTATCCTTTCCAGTTATTCAATGAAAATTGTTCATTGGGTCATCAAATATATCTTTGGTTATGTGAGGAGGGATTTTGCATTTAACTGAAAGGTAAATACATCTAAAGGTTATGATTATTTTAAAAATGATTTAAAATAAATGTTGTGTAAACATTTCGATATTTAAGTGAAACGTATTTACCGCTCTATAAGGTATGCTGAGAATTTCGAGGCAATTATACAAATATGTTTTTGTCATTTGTTTTTAGAAATAATAGATGATACAGTGTAAGGACCAATTTAAAAAGGTATCTTGTTTAACATGTAAACATGTTGTAAATGTTGACGTAATATCATATTTTTCTTAAGCTTTACAAAAGAAGTATCCATGAACACATTATTAATATTATTTAATTAAAATAATTATAAATACAGTTTTTTTTATCAATTCTGAAATATCTATGCATAGATCGGTTGATAATTTCTACACTACATTCATGAAAGATGTCAAGTCAATAATACATTTTTTTTATGAATTTTACATATGAATTAATGGTGGTAATTTATTTGATATGTTAACATCTTGTAAATATTGATTTGATGTAGGTTTATACAATGAAGATGAAATTATATCTAATTTACGCAATCTAAATTATCAGTCGCACTATGTATAACATAATTGACGAAGTGAAAAATACAAATATGTATCTATTCTGAAAAGATGTGAACAGATCGGCTGTTTATTTCACGACACATTTTATCAAGGTTTGAAAATAGGTATGAATATAATTCTTAAAAAAAAATGAGAATATCTCGGATGAATATATATTGGAAAGAGTGAGACATAGACTAAGGGTAAAGATATTGTGAAAATATCAATACAAAGGTAGGAAAATAATTAACGTTGGAAATATTAAACGTGAAATTAATTTGTGTGTAAATCCGTTTAAAAAATCTCTAAATCTAATTCCAATAAACAACGTATGATTGAAGATTTTCTAACTAAGGTTTTTATTCAGTAACATCTAATTTATTCTCAATGTATTCAAACGGAGTGTATGTATAATGTATGAATTTACTAGTATAAGTTAGTGTTTAGGATAAACTTGAAACCATCTTTACAAGAAAGGGCGAAAATGAATAAAATCGTTGTGATACAAAAAAGCAACGTCCGAATATTCATGCCATTACCGAAGTACACGTGTTCGTGTGAATTTTGACAGTTCGTATCCACTGAATGTATTTTATCTAACTCTATAACCATGTAAACTCGATCAATTTAGAAATAACACGATTTTGATTATTTCACTACAATATGTATTTACACCATATGACATTTAGAATAACTGCCTGCATATCACACATCTTTTTTTCTAAGAACGGATTTTCGGTATCAAATAAGAGATCGATAAATATTATAAACATATTAAAGAACAAGTAGACTTTCATACACATATTTTTAGAAAATCTTTAAAAACAACATTGTGATAAAATCTCCTCCATTATTAAAACCACTTGAGTTTTTACATACTAGTACTAAAAGTTCGTTTAGAACAATAAACCTAAACAGAATATATATATATATTAATAATGAGATCTATTTTGTTACATCTTTTGATCCGTTTATTTGACAATCGACAATGGCAGTAGGCAGGGTTTAAGAACATCCGTTGTTCGACTTGCTAGTCAAATGCGTATTCATTTGTTAAAATATACTTTTTCACTCATTTGGTCTTTTGGAAAATGTTGTTTGTGCTGTATTTAGACCCCTCTACCAAGACATTTGTTTTGCATGCACACGTATACAAATTGCGGTTTTTATCCAACGCAATCACAGATTTGAACGTTGTTTCAATTTAGACTTGTATATATTTATATATATATATATAAGTACGTCTGAACCAGTGACGACTCTACAACAGATTTTATCCATCGGATAACCAGCAGTGATGTTGATACATGGCTGAAAATACATTCTGTGTATATAATTCGTCTAAACAACAGCCCAACAATGTTTAATTTTTGTTGTTCTTCCCTGTCCGGGATTCGAACTCATGCTACTGAGATATCGTGGCACCAAATCGCCTTGCACTATGCCCGACGTGCTAGACCACTCGACCACCTAGGCTCTATAATAATAAAGCTTTCGGTGGCCGGGTGTTACCTTTCCTCGTCAGTTTATATCTAGCGTCGTAACACAGTACATGATATATAAGTCATGATGATGGAATTGTTACAGATCAGCTGAATTATCTATTGTAAAGGATCCTACAAATTAATGTAAGATGCAGTCACAGAAATAATTATATTATAAGTACGTCTGAACCAATGACGACTCTACAACAGATTGAATCCATCGGATCACCAGCAGTGATGGTGAAACAAGGCTGAAAATATATTCTGTATATATAAAATTCTTTGATCTCGGTTATTCTTAAAGGGTAAGCAGTTCCTTCGTCACTTGTGACAGATATCGAGTATAAGAAACAGTGATAAATCATAATCAGAAAAGGATTTGTAATACTAAAGTTTTAACATATAGTAAAACAATCAGGTATAACTGTAAAAAACTAAAACATATTGATTAGAAAAGAATTCAATGGCCAATCAAAAATCAATAAAAGGCTTCATCACCATGACTAAAAAGATAAAAAACGAAAAAGAAACAAGAAATCAATGGCCAATCAAAAATCAATAAAAAGGCTTCATCACCATGACCGAAAAGATAGATAACGAAAAAGAAACAAGAAATCAATGGCCAATCAAAAATCAATAAAAGGCTTCATCACCATGACTGGCCAATCAAAAATCAATAAAAGGCTTCATCACCATGACTGGCCAATCAAAAATCAATAAAAGGCTTCATCACCATGACCACAAAGATAAATAACGAAAAGACAAAAATATTCAAATAGAAAAAAAACTTACGATTAAGCAACATGAACCCACTAGTAACTGTTTTTCATACTGAAACGGTCATTTTAAACTGAACAACTCTTAATTGCCTGAATTAACCGCAAGGAAAAATGTCAAGATCTTTTTCAGTTATTCAGGACCTGTTCAGTACCCTGATCCGCGCGGGAAATCCAGTACAGTTCAGTACTGACTCAGGTAATTAAGAGAAAACGCATTGCATTCGATCCAGTAGCGTCAAGAACGTTTTCGTACAAATCAGTACATCGATGAAATAGTTGTCTGGGAATTTTCAGTACTGTTCAGTGCCAGTTAGGATTGAATCCTATATAAATCATTGAATCGATAGTATAACACTCTTATAGTAAAATCAGGTAAGAAATACAGGGGAGATGTAGATGGCTATTGATCGCGATCGTTAATAAAATTTCATGTTTCTTGCGATCTATAAATATGACATTGTAGCATATAACATCGCCTAACCAAAAACCTATACCCCACTGCAAAGCAACAACTATAAATTGTACCAAAAATGAAAGTTTGTTAATTGGTTGAAAACCATTTCATTTTAGATAAAATATATAAAACAATTTATTTTTTGCACACTCACTCACTAATCGGTATTTCATTTTCAACTAATATCTG